GCAGCAAAAGATGAGACATACTGAATAATCCGCGTCCGATTCTCGTGGTTGGAAGGACGAAATCTCTTTGGGGGATCTCTAGTTGCTAACAACCTAACTTAACCCTTTATTTATTTATTTGAGTATTATGCTTTATTACTTGATGTTATAATGGTGATTGTGTATTGGATTGGGAAAAAGGGGTAAGGTGTGTATGTGTTTACTGGGCATTCAAAGCTCACGACGTATCATGCCAAGTGACGAAGCGGAACTCATAGCTGGAGACGACGATCCTGAAACTTTCGAAGACTTTTGGCTATCCTAGAAAAATTAGAAGTTTCTTTTTGGATGTTTTGTAAAGACTCATTTGGAGACTTAAGCTTTTTTCTGGAATGTAATGTAATGGAACCATCTTTTGAGTTATATATATTGTGATTGTTATGTATTTGTATTCTACGTATATGTATGAACCTTATCGTTGCTTATGAGACCTTGTGTTAATACCTTTTAAGATCTGTCAAAAGGGTAGTGCATTACCTAAGAAAGCTGAACTTAGAAGGGAGGCTATTTTGACTCCTCCGGCAATCTGGGATCTTACTTGGTTATTGACCATAGGACTCATTAGTGACTCTCCCTTGACTGCAACCAATAGTGTAGAATTAGGGCATCACATGCATAATTGACTGGTGGGGGCTATCTTGGGCAACTCCAAGATCCATGGACTGTCTGTTTAATTGGTGGATAAGCTGGAATCTCAAAAAGAAAGAAAGGCAGGTGTGGAGAGCTATCCCCTCAGCTGTGGTATGGTATGTGTAAAAGTGTAGAAATGAATGCATTTTTTCTAACAAGCCCCAACTTCTGGAGGAGTTATGTGAGCTAATTAAAGTTCGACTAGCACTGTGGTTGAAAACATTTGATCCTTGTTGTTCTTATTTCGTTGGTAACATTGTAAGGAATATTCGTCTGGTAAGAAAATTCATTTAGTAACTTAGGGGTGATCTACTATGGTAGTCTGTCAGTGGGTGTAGCTCCGGGCAGAAGTGGAGCTTTTTTATGAGTGGTTGCTGTGGTTTTTTTATATTGTGCATTGGGAGTGCATCTGTAGTTATGGGAGTGCAACTGCAATTTTCTTGTCTTGGGCATTGAAGGGATTTCTTGCTAATGTTGATGTTGCTATTGATATACTACTTTTGCTATTGTTGATGCTGAGATGAGGTAGAGCAGATCAGGAGATCTATTTTTTGTTGAAATATTGGTGCTGTTGTTATGTTGGTGTTATGCTACTGCGTGTTTCCCAGGTAGGCAACCCAAAAGGGGGGGTGAATTGAGTTATTAAAAATTTTACAATATTAAAATTAACACAACATTCAGAATTTTAACAAATAAAAAAAACAAAATAATAATTATCAATATAAAAGTAAGAGAGATGGGAAGAGAAAATCAAACACTGAGATTTATAGTGGTTCAGTACGCCAGGCCTACGTCCACTCCCCAACCTCCTTGAGAATTTCTTTACTATCAATTGAATAAATACACCATCAAACTTGTAGATTTGGCACAGGACTTACTCTTATTTATTGAACCTCACTCAACAATAAATGTCTCACCCTTACAAAATTTCTCACAAAAGTAATGAATAAAAATAAGTGGTACTTAAACCCTCTCTTACAACAATTCTCTCACAAAGAGTAGATATAAAAGTGTAAGATCAAAAGCTACACTTAGGTCTGAAAGTGAAGGAATATAATACAATATTCTCAAAATTTGGAGCACACATAAATTTTTCTTTTCAAGTTCTTGATTTTTCTCCACACACAACACTTTTATTTATATACAAAAATTATACCCATTGGAGGTAAGACGCTCCTTGCTGACGTCATGGATGACATCTATTTGTTTCAACTTTTCATCATGAGGCATCATTTGTTTCAACTTTTCATCATGAGGCATCTTTTCTTTTTGTCAAACATAGTGGCAGAATTTGAACAAAACTCACAAACATGTGGGTTTTGACTATTATATATATATATATATATATGAGGTAAAAAAAATCCTGCAAAGTCCACATTAATTTATATAAAGATGTAACTTTAACATTCAAATTCAAACTTTAACATGTGAATTAAAATTCAATATGCTGCAATTTTGCAACCATTTCTTTGTGTATTATATCATGTATGATTTTTCACATACTAATAATTAATGTTTCCATATGCTAATATTCAATGTTTCCACGCACTAATATATATGATACAATCAATGTTGTGTAAAATATAATTGCTTCCATGATGTATGCTATTATATGCATTATATATATAATGTTCTAATCAAATATTTGCATACATAGAAAAAATCTATTTAAATAATATTTATGATGGATTTGAAAATATATGCCCTCTTTAAAATATTGTATATATTGTAGAGATTTTAAACTAAATATATCCTACCACTACATATCAATTTTGTCAAGACAACCCATTAATATCAAGTTTGTCAAAATAATACAACTAATCAATTTGTCAAATGATGAATAGTAATCAGCCTTATTTTTCAAAAAGTGAATAGTAAAGTTTTTAAAATATTTTTATTTAAATAATAGTTATAAAAAAAATATATCATACAACTTATATTTTAAAAAGATAATATTTTGTGTCAAATAAAGTTTTCAAATAATATTTTAGACATCATCAAAATTAAACAATATGATTAACAATCTCCCCCTTTTTGATGATGGCAATATTGTACGGATTTGACACAAAATAGAAATCAACAAAATTATTTGATAATTTTGCAACATAAGATATTATGCATGCACAACAATTCAAAATCATATTTTCTTCTTCCCCTTTGACATCATCAAAATAAACTATGGAGATAAAAAAAACAGACACAGTTGATACAATAATTTGAGATGCCAAAAATATAATAATGGTCCATAAGTCTGTCGAGATCATTGTGGGGATTTTGGAGCATCTCGAGTGCAAAAAATGTTGACAAATAAAAGATTTGAGCAGATATGCATTAAGTATTGGATCGATGGAGTGTATAAAAAGTGATACAGATGATAGGCAAATACGAAATTATCAAGTGTTGGAGAGAAAATTTTGTTTTAACTTCTTGTGCAATCATGTCATTCCTTACCTTATCTATCAATGAGTCGGACCTGCATGAGGTGCTTGTAATGTAGGCAAATGAGAGAGTATCAGTGGTGCAGGCACATGCTATGCTTGTAAATGAGGGTCCTAGTGTTATTGGTAATCGAAATGATATCGATATTATTAATAACACTATGGCTCTTAGTACACAGGAGCCCGCAAGGCCAGCCCGGCCCGACCCAATTTTTGGCAGGAGCCCGCAAGGCCCGACATGGGCCAAGCCAAGCCAAATTTACATCCCTATCATACCAAAATTGAAAGAAAGCTGATATCTACTACGAGAATGGAGCTTTTTACTACTTCCCTGCCTATGAACACAACCAAGCTATTCATCTTGCTTTGGAAGCAGTGAATAATGCTCTGGAAATAGTACTTCTTTTCTCTCATCACTATTTTTTGATAAATTATAAATGCACCCTTAAATTTTCTTAAAATACGAATTATTTTTTTATAATTTTTAAAAATTATTTTGTGACTTTTTTTTTAAATTGTCAAAATATTCTACTTTATAAAGGCTTTTAAAATTACGGAGTAGAATGTCCTAAACATTTAAAAAATCAAAATTGAAAAAGTTCACTAGGTTTCGCGTAGGAAGTGGGTTGGTTTTTGGACTTTTGGCTTTTTGACTATTTTAGTCTGGGGCTAAAAATTCTCGTTTGAGAATGATTTTTTGAGTTTTTCGACTTTTTGTAAGAGAAATAATATAATGATTATGGGTTAGATGTGATATTTTGTCTTATTAGGCTAAAAAGTTTATTTTGTCTTTTTCTGATTAAAATAGCCCCAAACCCAAGCCAACCCTTCTTCCCAACCAAAAAAATGAAAGAAAAAGGCCAACAAAAAAAAAGTGCCAAACGAAACCTTACATGGGGGTCATTCCTCCAAAAGGGGTAAGCAATGCCACAAAAGAGAAAAATAAAAACATCAGCAAACAAAAATAATTTCATAAATTAATTTGGTGAAAAAAAATTTTAAAAAAAAAGAACACACTCATGTATTTCTTCTCAATCAAAAAAAAAATTAAAGAAAATTGCAAATCAATGATGCATTTACAAAATATTTACATATTTATAAAAAAAATTATAACTTTGATTATTAAAGTTAGTAAAATTTACCACTAATTTGAATTTTTTTTTAAAAAAAAAGCATGCACTGATTATGAATTGAAATAATGATTTGAAAAAAGAAAAGAAAAAAAAAATAGGTGATCATGGAATTAGGTATAGGAATTTGAAAAGAAAAGGGAAAATTGATTTTCAAATTGCTATCCAAATTCAAGATCCAAACTTGGCTGTGTTTGGATCACAAAATTAAATAGGAATTTAGAAAGAGAAAGAGAAAATGTAGGTGAAATATAAATGAAATATAGTTATATTTCACATACATTTTTCTTTTCACTTTTTAAATTTTTAGGTAAATCTATAATCTAACACAACCTACCTAAATTCATAATTCAAATACAACCTAATGATTTATTGATCATATATAGGCACGTGTTAAAATGACTTAAAAATATCATTTTTTTTATTATAATTATTTTCATGTAGAATTTATATTTTTTTTTAAAAAAAAATTTAAAGACATGTATTAACAAAATGTAATAATGAAAATCTTTACCTTTAAGTGGTAACATAAATGCGTAAGTCATAACTAAGAATGTTTAATTTTAATTTGTCCATACATGAGGCCATCATCACTTCAAATCATAATTAATACAGTTCATATATATGCACACACTACTAGAAAATTGACTTTTTGCGACTGCTTGTTTGGCCGTCGCAAAAGGAAAAAAAAAAAAAAAAACTCCAATTTATATTTAACATTTATTTCTCCTATTTTCTTTCATTTATTTGCGTTTGCCCTACCTTGGCTTGTTCAACCTCTCACTCTCGCTCTCGCTCACCCCGTATGAATCTCTCTATCCCTCTTGATCTCAATCGATTGATCTCTCAATCTCTCTATCTCAATCTCAATCTCTATACCTCTCTCGATCTCTCAATCTCTCTTTGTATCTGCGTACACATTATCTATTCTCTCTCTGCAATTTGAGCGATTCGTCACAGAAAAACCCTAACTCTGCCATGGCAAAGTTCTCTCGGAGCATTCAAATGCAGCAGAGTAAGCTCACATCTCATGCGTTTCATCTACCTCAAAATTCACCTACATTACGCGCTCACACACACAAAGACTACCTTTGAGCTTCATTGTGTACATAGTGTCCTATCAATGCATAATTACATGAATGCTTATATACGTATGTATATGTATTTAGCATCGCAATGCAGATCTGTTCTCGGTTCTGTTTTTGCTTCTTCTTTTTTTTTTTTTTAACCTCTGTTTTGGTTCTTTGATCCATAAATTGCTTGATTTGTTCTAATTTTTGTTCTTTTTTCGATGTTTTTCGCGTTTATTGGTTGGTTAATTGGTTTGAGAAAATCATCATAAAACTTTGTGGCTATTTCTAGTGGTGATGCCTCTGAGGCCTTTGTACAAGCATTACAAGAGAAGGTTTTTCATTGACATTCTCATCTCATTAGAAACAATATTCAAAATGTAGCTCTTTAATTTTTATGAGTAATGGGCCTTACAGCTAATCTTTGTCACAGTTTGTTGTTTAAAACCGTCCATGGACCAAAAAACACACAATTGGAATAGGTTGTCTGCCACGGCTGCTGAACAGATTGTATTGACAGAGTGATCCATTCTACAGGTTAGAATTTTTTTTGCTAGAATTTGTTATTATGTTTAGTAATTTTCATGTTTTTTTTTTTTGGGTTCTCTAATGATAGTTATACTTGTTAATGAGCTAAGAAATTTCAAAAATTATGAGGTGGCTCACATTTGTCTCACATTTGTATCCATAAACATAGGAATATACTTTCATATAAACTTACATTTGTTGTCATTCTTTTGAAGGTGTCAGATGAGTGGGGCCAAAACTCATGGTGGAAGCCTTCCATGAACCAAAGAATAGAAAAAAGAGTTCAAGGTTTGTACATTTAGTCCCCCATTTCATCTTACCCTTCTGTATAATAAGGTGGCTTGGTTGGATTTTGAACATCTGAGGAACTAATAAGAACCAGGATGAGAGTAACGGATATCGTGCTTATACTTAGATGGTATGGAACCAAATAAGTCTCTATCAGTCTCAATCTTGTAAATTTTCATGATTATAAATTTTGTCTCCATTTCGAAGATTAACATAGAGTAACGGATATCGTGCTTATACTTAGATGGTATGGAACCAAATAAGTCTCTATCAGTCTCAATCTTGTAAATTTTCATAATTATAAATTTTGTCTCCATTTCAAAGATTAACATTAACATGTATTTCTCTCTTTGTATAGATACCTTTGTGTGTTTCCCTATGACTTATGCTCATTGATTAACATTATGTTCATTGATTTAGGCTTTAATGTTTTGTTTGTTTGATCACTTAGTCTACCTTTGTGTGTTTCCCTATGACTTATGCTCATTGATTAACATTATGTTCATTGATTTAGGCTTTAATGTTTTGTTTGTTTGATCACTTAGCAGACACTTGGAATGCATAAAAAAGATTTTTTTTCTTTTTTTTTTAATACTTTTTTTTGGGTCCATATATGAATTTGGGATTGAGGTTGAGATATACTCATTTATTAATATTATTTTTTTGGTCTCTGTTTTTTTCTTTTCCTAGAGGGTCCAAGTTGGTGCTCTTTGCTTTTATGATTTGGTCGGCTAGCCTCTCTATCAAATTTCTTGAATTGGCCGGAAAAATTAATGGTAACTGATAATATTTATTCTATTTATAACATTGAAATGTTTTATTCCCATCATTTTCCTTTATTATCTTTTTAGTGTTCAGCTAATAATCTCTCTCCAATTGCTTCGTTATTACGAAGCAAATCATATGTTTAATTTATTCCTTGTTGCACTTTAAAATGTTACTAATTAATTTTATAAAGTATAGCAATCAAAAGTGGAAGCCACAATATTTGAAAATGACATACAAATGTTACAGAACACCCTCAAGATTTGTACATCCTGTGCAATATCAAGTGCAGTGGTCTGAGCTTTCATGAATCAATCCTAGAGGAGTGTATGAACAAGTTTTTATATTGTCAAGTAACCATCATTCCCTGACTAACATAGGCAAAAATGCTCAAGAACATGTTTGGAGCAATGCACAGATAACTTGTTTTTTGGATTGATGTTGCTGCTGTATTGTTTTTGGTAAAAC